CTTCTTGTATCATATTTAGCGTCACCTGCATGTTTTGCAAGCTTGATATAGATCCTAATTTCTCACTGCATGACATATCAACTATTGTTTTTTGCCCTGATGTGGAGGCTATCATTGGTGCGGTTTTCTTTACAGTTTTGGTAATTGTAGATGTACTTCTCATCTTTAAATTTTTAAGAAAATTTTCCCACAATACTATAAAGTCCTTATTCTCTCAGAGATCTTCCTCTCTAACAGACCTATCTTGACAGACCTATCTTAACAGAATCAACTGTTTTAGTTATATCTCTATTATAATTGTTAGTAGGCAATAGTACAGTGAAATTTTCTTTTCTTTTATCTATGTTTTTTTCCTGAGATTTCTTGATGTGTTTGGTAATATATTGATAAGTATATTATCAATGATAATATATTCTAATTAATTAATATAATCCAACAATTAATAACAATTCTCTATACATTATTTTATATTATTATGGCTGTAGATTACAAAAAACAATTGTCAATTCATACACATTATCCTAAATTTTAAATTATATTAATAAAAATATATGATACTATAAATGATATAAATCACACTTTTAAAGTATATTTAAAACTTTACAAATATATAAATTGATATAGGTAGGTGTCAGCAGTATAATTTTCAGAGTTCAATAAAAAATCTCATGAAATTTCTAGGAGTATTTGAATTAATTTTTAATTTCTAACTAATATTTACTATATAATTATAAATATGTATTACAAATAAATAAAACTTATAATTTTGTATCTAATTAGATTATAAATTATTTGTAGAAGTAGATATAAATATAGTCCAATAGTTCCTCAAATCAGTCTTTTCCGAACCTCTCAAGTAGTCCTTACTTCTTAATTTCCCTGTTTCTGTTTTCCAAGTCCAAGATGTCTGCTCTCCCTTTTAGTGCTCAGTCACCGTCTACTATCCAGGTCTTAACACTTCCTTCTTTCTTTCTTTGACTGGGATCTTTTATTTTTCAAGGTCTTTCCCTCTCAGTTCTAGATCTTTCCCCTTGGATTCAGTACCTTTCGCCGCTATTCTGAAACCAGTTCAGATCGTCAATCTCTTTCTCTTCTTACCCTTTGCCGCCACTGTTAGCTCCATCTCCTTGTACTCCTCTCGCTCCCACCACTGAGGCACCTCTTCTTTCGTTTTGGAGATTCATTTATCAGCTTCTTTATAGGATCCTCCAATTCAGTTAAGCAACTGGTGTTGCATTCAGTCCCATCAAAAGTCCACTGACACTTTCTGCTGTTTCTCTCTCTTCGCTTCCACTTTAACTCAATCAAGCTGTCACGCCTCCGGACCCAACCATGACGGTCCGTCTCTTTCATGCTGGTTTTTAAGGGTTATCTCCTGCTATGGCGGGGATCGCCCCTCTCCCTGTCACCTCCAGAGTGTCCCCTGTCTCAAGTAGAACCCATTTGCAAGCCCTGTGGTGTGAAGCCTTCATTGGCCTTGATAACAGGCATTGCCAAAAACTGATAAAAAGCCACCTCAGAATAACATCCACAATTACTACAACAGTGGACTTCAGTGGCCCCATTGTCCTTGACTTTTTTCTTCCAGACTGGGGCTTCAGAGCCACCTTGCGTCCATAGTTGAAATGTACAACAGCATGCCTTCTTTCAACATGGACTACCATATATATAATATGAATAAGTTAGGTGGTTCCTTGATGATTGTGAGATCGTTTAACTTCACCCTTTTTGTTGCCTTGGTTATTGTTTCATTTTTCTTTTTCTCTCATGTTGTCACATAAAAATATGTATTTTCTTCTATTTCCTTGTAAACATTGGCATCATTTGAACTGTACATAAAATGCATGTATGCTTATATGAAGATGGTATAATTTGTTAAGAGAGGTAACGAAGTGTGGGAAAAAGGTGGTGCAGTATTTCGAATGCACTGTTGCAGGCTAATTCTGCTGACTGCCAGGAGTTCAATTCTGACTGGCTCAAGTTTGACTCAGCCTTCCTTCCTTCTGGGGTCAGTAAAATGAGGACCCAGATTATTGGGGGCAAACTGCTTAGAAAGGGCTGTAAAGCACTATAAGTCTAAGTAAGTCTAAAAGAGCCTTGGTAGTACAGTGGTCTAAAGCACCCTGTTATTAAGACCAGCTGCCTGCAATTACTGTAGGTTCGAATCTCGCCAGGTTCAAGGTTGACTCAGCCTTCCATCCTTTCTAAGGTAGGTAAATTGAGGACCCAGTTGTGGGGGCAATAAGCTGACTTTGTATAAATATACAAAAGGATGAAGGCTATTGCTTAGCGCATTATAAGCCGCCTTGAGTCTCCGGAGAAGGGCGGCATATAAATAAATTTAAAAAAAGTGCTATTACTAAGTGTTAAAAAGAAGAGGACAGAAATAAAGATTAAAAGCAGAGTTGTGACCATTAAAAATAGTAATCACAAGACTATCCATAATTTGTATTTTTTATCACATTTTTTGCTGCATGGAAGAGTTTACATCATCATGCAACATTTGCTTCTTTAGCAATAGATTTATGATGTAGCCCTGGACTAAGATCAAGTTATTTACCAGCTGTCTTGACAAAAAATTACCCAACATTTACCATCATCTAGACAAAATGCACTCCGTTCATGTGTAGTGCTTCTAGATCAGGGATCCCCAAACTAGGGCCCGTGGGACGGATAGGGCCTGCCAACACAAAGTATCCAGCCCGCAGATGGTGGGATTCAGCCCCTCCCCTCCCTATCGGCCTTATCTTCCAGTGAGCATCCAGCCACTTCTGGTTAGTTATTTCAATGGTTGAATCACACTTCTGATCACACCACTGCTGCCGAAGGTAAGGTCGAAGGATGTCTGGGAGTTGAAGTCCACAAGTCCTAAAGTTGTCAAGGTTGGAGGATGGTCAACTCTATTGCCACTAGTCAAAAGCCAACCTGCAGCTATTATCTTTCTCTCCCTTTCTCTGTCTCTTTTAAGGAAATAAATAGAGCAGTTACTGAAAAAACAAGAAAGGGTTATGAATAAAAGAGATAATGCAAAGGTCTTTGTTGGTAGTGCCTTGGAACTTATAAACTGAGGCACACTGGTTACTGGGGAAGCCTGCTGGAAATTTAAACTACTTTAGATTTGGGATGAGAGAGTAGGAATCAAACCTTCATGTGAAGAATGGGAGGAATTCAAATATCCGATTTTAGGTCAAAAAATCCAAAGAAACTTTTCCTTTATGAAGAAGAATTTAAATAGTTAAAAATTATTATGTTAATGTTCATATTATCTTGTTAGTATTTAATAGATGGTAATTGCAATTATTATTATTCAACCGTTCCATCAAAATGATGCTTAGTGTAGTTCTAAGAAAAATAAAACACAAAAAATAGTAATTAAAACTATAATTAAAAAATAATTAAAGTGGCTCCAAGTTCTACAGCAGGAGGCACTATAATACAGTAATTAATGGGGGCAATATTGCATTTTATGGCCTACCATTCTAATTCCTGGGGTGCCAGGGGCCATCCTTCCGTCAGTCGTTTACTTTTTCAGACTAGTGAGAAAATATCAGCACTTTTAAAAATTAAATGTTGAACAAAATACATTAAAACCAGGGGTGAAATGCTCCCGGTTCGGACCGGCTCGGGCGAGTAGGTAGCGATGGCGGCGGGCAGTTCGGAGAACTGGTAGCAAAAATCCCTGCCCCCACCCCCCCATGCCCAGCTGAGCCGCGCGATCATCAGAGGCTTTTTTCTCTTTTAAATAGCTCTGTGTCAGAGCATTCATTTATTTTGAGATAGCATCGAAGTCTGACACTCTGACCAGCCAAGCTCTGACGATTCCAGCTGAGTTGCCTACTAATCAGACAACTCAGCTTTGGATCGCCAGAGCCATGTAAAAGAAAAAAACTTTTTTCCTTTTAAATGGCTCTGACCTCCCCCCCTCAGCTTGCTTACCTTAGCTGCTGGTCGCAATGCCTTACTGTAATCCCTGCAATCCATTGCATCAGCAAGCAACTGAATCTCCCTGCCTGCAATCAAGCAGGCAGGGAGTTGTGGACTTCAACTCCCAGAATTCCTCAGCCAGCAAAGCAAAGCTGGCTGAGGAATTCTGGGAGTTGAAGTCTACAAGTCTTAAAGTTGCCAAGGTTGGAGACCCCTGTTCTATTCGGTAAGTTTTTTCCCCTTTGGGAGCTTTAAAAAAATAGTTAATTGGGTTTTTTTTAGTTGTTCTTTTTTTAGACCTAGCCATTTAAAGTTTAGGAAGTTTTAAATTTAGCTGCTTTTATATAAAAATAAAAATAAATAAAAATAAAATAATATTTGTGCAGCTTTCTGAGATTTAGCGTGTTTCCGTAGTGTTTCACTCTAACTACACAAACACACAAAATCTCACAAAGCTGTATGTGGAATTTTGTGTGTGTAAAGTGTGAAAGTTGGTTTTTTGGGCTTTTTGTGGCTGTCTGAGGTTCCTGCTTGTTGCAGGGGCCATTTTGGGTCCAGCACAGCCGCTTTTATATTGTGGGTGAGCCAGTTGTGTTGTGTTGTGTTTTGTAGGTTTAAAAAGGGCAAAGAGGTGACATTGACTTGGCCACGCCCACCTTACCACCAAGCCACACCCTCCGTCACCATACCACCAAGCCACGCCCACTAATTAAGCCACGCTCACAGAATCGGTAGCAAAAAATTTTAGATTTCACCCCCGATTAAAACCATATTAGAGAAAGAGCAGAAATTAATGTAAAGCCCACAGGAAAGGGCAATGCGATTATTTCTACTCATTGTGTTTCTTGGGTATCCATTCCTTGTTCTATCATCTCTTTGCAGATTATCCTGATTTTAATAGAGTCCCCTTATTCGCATGCCCATTATTTCCCGTGGTCTTTCGCCCATCCTTTCCGAAAGATTCCTGTCCTTCACTAGGACGTATCGCAGCTGTCGCCCCCTCCCCATAGTTGGCGTCATCCGAAGCTGCGATTTCCATCCTCTCCACCTGCGGACGCTCCCGCCACTTCCTTTTCTCCCTCACCCCAAATCTCCAAACCTAGCAGCCCCTCCTGCGCAAGCGGCGGCGGCAGCAGCCAATCTCGCCCCGATCGCTTCCGCCGCCTCCCGTACTTGCGTGAACGTGGAGCCAAGAGGCATTGCCAGGCGTCCTCTCGAAAAGCCGGCGTGCCGTGGGGCGTGGGCAGGGGCGGGGGAGCGATTGTTTCCACAGAGGTCGTTTGTCTGTGTTGGGAGTGGGTCAGGACGATTCCCCCTCTTCTCCATTTCATCTGGAAGCGTCTCAAACGCGCCGCAGCAGAGGCAGGGAATTCACTCAGCCCCGAAAAAAACGAGGTAAGGGTCCGACTGCACCATAACCCGATGGTGTACTGTGCTCTCCTCCTTCACGCCCGCAGGGAGGATCTGGATGAAATTCCAAGGTTTGGGGAGTTGGAATTCCTCCTGCCCCTTGATGTCGGCTCACTGCTCTGGGGAATCCTGAGCCGTGCATCCTGGGGGGCAATCCAGTTAATCGTCCCTCTACACCCCGCTGCACCAAGGAAGGTGGGCAGAAGTGCCAGATTGTGTTTACAATGCTGATGAAGGGAAGACAATTGAGCCCAATGGCGCTGCCTTCCCACTCGCTCATGTCTTCCACCTCTGCTTGCCTACTTTCGCTGGACAGCTGAGAGGACTGGGCCTGCCAGATCCAACCCTAGTGCTCAGTGGGTGAGGCAGATGTACAAACAAGCTCAGCTATTCAGTCAAGAAGCAGCTGGTTCATCTTCTCACTAGCTCACCTGAACTGAAGGATGCAGAGCAATCCTCCCCATCCTCCTCCCCCCCTCCCCACCAGAAGAGGGAGAAGAGCAGCAGCAGTAGCATTCCTTCAAGGCCCACAGAACCCACACAGTTAAAATGATTAGCGGTTAGCTCTCATAAAAATAGCCGGCCACCTCTATCTGCTGGCTTGTGTAGTTTTCCTTGGTCCACTGCAGCATTAGACCCACTGAATCTAATCTCCACTGCTTTGCTGGGGAGGAGGTAGGGAGGGTAAGAGGGAGACCCAGAGGTGGAGGTACCTGCAGGCTTTCTGTGTCGCATTCTTGGCAGTGCCAATGGGCCCCATCTGCCATTATTATGCCTCTGAAAAGGGAGCTAGAGCAAGGGGCTGATCCTGAAGGGACAGCTGGTGCCTTTTGCATTTCACTAGGTACCAGGAAAGCATACTTTTTCCTTTCAAATTGTTGATAGTCTCTTGACCATCTAAAATAATTCCAATTACCGTCTGAGCACCACTCTGAGGAACAAATAAGTAGAAAATGATTATTGCCCTTTTTGCTCTGTGTGCTTTAATCCCTTGAGCAGCACAACATGCTTTGTTCTTACTCTTTTTTGTACATTCCAAATTAAAAATGCAGGCAAATGATCTGAGATAGTATCAACACCTATTGTTTGCAATCCTACTTACTCATATGTATGTGTGGGCATATAAGCAATAGCTCTTTTGTGCTGCTTGATCTCTAAATCTTGGGGAAGGGAGAAGAATTGAAAAAGAGGTGTTACTGTTACTGTGTGGGGCACATGGAAACACTTTCCCTTCCACATGTGCACACACACACACACACATACACGTGGCGCAATGTATAAGCAGTCAATCCATATTTTATATTATTATTATTATTATTATTATTATTATTATTATTATTATTATTTATGTTTTTACAGAAATAACATTCTGTAGGAGACAGATGTGTAAAACAAAATACGACCAACCAAATCAGACCCATCATTAATATCAAAAACTGCTTTAAATAGCGGCAACAGCAATAACAAGAAAATGAAACATAGATGTGATTTTATAAAGAGTCATATTAACCACAATCTTTAAAACTTTTAAAGAAATTAAAAAATGGGCCCCAGAGGAAAAGGAAGTCTGGGCCTGGAGGGAAAGGGGTACAGTATGAATGAATCTTTTGAGGGGGAAGTGTTCCACAGTTTGGGAATCACAGTCATGAAGATCTTTCTCCCCATCCTCAGTGTGAGAGAATTTAGGCCAACGTTTCCATTGTTTATCTTAAAGCTCAAGAAAGCACAAACATGGAAAAAGAACCAAGCCTAGAAATGCTTGCTTACTAACAAACTGCATAAAATTTATATACTGTTTTCTTGTTGTACCCAGGAATTTGAAATTCTAGGAGCCATGGTGGTTAGTGATTAGAATCAGTGGTGGGATTCAAATAATTTAACAATTGTTTCTCTGCCCTAATGACTGGCTGGATAAGCATGGCTGGGTGGTCATGTGACTGGGTGGGTGTGGCCAGGGTGGGCATGACACGGGTGCTAAGGCAGGACTTCCCTGAGACCCTCCCTCACTCTCATTATACAGGTAATCCTCCAGTTACAAATGTAATAGAGCCTGTCAATTACATTTGTAACCTGGGGATTTGTTCGATTGAATCACATTAAATGAATGTGATTATTCCCTGCTTTCCCCAATGCATTTGTTAATCGAATGGACAGGTCTTTAAATGCAGATGAGATATCTCAGGCTGGAGAACAACATGTGGTGCCTAGTGCTGGAGTAGATCATCCAAGGCCTCCCCCAAGCCACTGAGATACCTCATGCTCCCCTGGGGTCCCCACAATTGCTTCCCCCATCCCATCCTGCCCCGCTGGGTCTCCACAGACTGGGCCTGCTTTGCTAGCATCTCAGATTCCACTTACTCCTCCCCACCCCATTTCCCATGGATTACTTATTTTTTGAAGATCTTCAGAGGTCCAGAAGAGGCTGACCCACTGGCAGAGAAATCAAAGTGTTTTATTCAGATGATGGCAAAATTGTAAGAACATGAAATCTAAGGAAAACATTTCCACCCTCTTCTGAGTAAAAAACTCACTTGGAGCCAGCTTCAGGGATTGAGGTAGCAACAGCAGCCAATCAATGAGGAGCTTGCTTCCTTTGCCTCATTGGGTGTGAAATGCAAGCCCCTTGTTGATTGGCTGCCATGCCCCAATCCTTGAAGCTGTTCATTCGAACTAGCCAGTCAGCAGCAAGCAGACTGGGCCCAAACTAAGCCTGACCAGACTGGTCCAAACCCAAGCCCTCATGGCAGAGAAGCCAAAGTCTTTTATTCAGATGGGGAAAGCTGTTTTCCTTATATCTCATGTTCTTACAGCTTCACGGACTTCTGAATAAAAGAAAAAAAAGGCTTTTCTGCCATGTGGGTCAGCCTCTTCTGCAGTTCTTCGAAAACTAAGTATAGTAAAGCCATGGAAAATGGGGTGGTGAGGGCTGGATTGGGCCCAAGGATTGGGCCCATTTTGGTCTGTTACAGGCTGGGGGAGCCCTAGGGAGGCCCGAACAGGGCCTGGGAGGGCAGGATCAGGCCCACAGAGGCTCCATTTCAGCCTGTAACAGACTGGGGGAGGCCTACGCAGGCCCGATCGGGGCCCTAGCAAGCTCAGGCAAGCAGCCGGGAGTCAAGACAAGCCTCCCAGCAAGGAGAGACTGGGAGGGAGAGGCAAGGCTTTAGCCGGTTCGGCAAACTGAGCAAACAGTTAACAACTGGTTCTAGTGAACTGGTGCGAACTGGCTGAATCCCACCACTGGTTAGAATGTAGTATTGCAGGCTAACTCTGCCATAGCCAGGAGTTTTATCCTGACCAGCTCAAGGTTGACTCAGTCTTCCATCCTCCCGAGGTCGATGAAATGACCACACAGATTGTTGGTGGGAGGCAATACACTGACTTGTAAACTTGTAAACTGCTCAGAGAGTGCTGTAAAGCAGGGGTCCCTAACCCCCGGTCCACAGCCCATTGTGAACTGATCCGCACAAGCAGAAAGTGAGCATGCAAAGCTATATTTACGCATGCATGGGATTAGGTTGCATGCATGAAACCATCCCCTCACACACAGTCTTTCTCTGCCACCACTATGGTGCCAGAAAGGTTGGCGACCATTGCTGTAAATCACTATGGAGTTTTCTGGCCTGGAGCCGAGCAAGTATGTCTCTGGTCGAGTTCAAACTCCTGGTTTAAAATTTCTTTTAGCCATTTTTTAATTTTCTCCCAAAATTTAATTGCTTCTGGACACGTCCACCATTGATAATAATAAGTACCACGTTCAAATCCACATTTCCAACATTCAGCGGACTGTCCAGTAAACATTTTTGCCAATCTGTCTGGCGGGAGATGCCATCTATATAGCATCTTATAAATATTTTTTTTGTATGTAGTAGATACTACCAATTTCATATTTCACCACCAAATCTCTTTATTTATTTATTTGTTTGTTTGTTTAAATTTCTATACCGCCCTTCTCCAATATAGGACTCAGGGCGGTGAACAGCCGAAGTAAAAACAAGACATACATACAAAACATACAAAATCTAAAAACTGATTAAAATAATTAAATATCTTGGCCGTAATTAAAACTGTTCCAATTTAAAATCAATTTAAAATTTGACTCAAGCCAGCCCAGCTAGTTGAAATAAATGGGTTTTCAGGGCCCGACGAAAAATCCGGAGGTCTGTTATTGTACGTAACTCTGGGGGGAGGTTGTTCCAGAGGGTGGGCGCCACCACAGAGAAGGCTCTCCCCCTGGGGGTCGCCAGCCGACATTGTCTGGCGGACGGCACCCTGAGGAGGCCCACTCTGTGTGAGCGTACTGGCCGGTGGGAGGCTATTGGTGGCAGAAGGCGGTCTCGTAAGTACCCCGGCCCTAAGCCATGGAGCGCTTTAAAGGTGGTCACCAACACCTTGAAGCGCACCCAGAAGACCACCGGGAGCCAGTGCAGCTCGCGCAGGAGAGGTGTCACATGGGAGCGCCTCGTCGCCCCCATAATCCCCCGCGTGGCCGCGTTCTGGACCAGCTGGAGCCTCCGGGTGCACCCCAGGGGGAGCCCCATGTAGAGAGCATTGCAGTAGTCCAGGCGGGAAGTGACGAGTGCCTGAGTGACTGTGCGTAGGGAGTCCCAATCTAGAAAGGGGCGCAACTGGCGTATCAGGCGAACCTGATAGAAAGCCCCCCTGGCCACGGCCGCCAAATGATCTTCTAAAGACAGCTGTGCGTCCAGGAGGACGCCCAAGTTACGAGCCCTCTCCGTGGGGGCGAGTGATTCACCCCCAATAGCCAGCGATGGCATCAGCTGGCTATATCGGGACGCCGGAAGCCACAGCCACTCGGTCTTGGAGGGGTTGAGTCGGAGCCTGTTTCTCCCCATCCAGGCCCGCACGGCCTCCAGGCACTGGGACATCACTTCAAGGGCATCATTGGGGTGGCCTGGGGTGGAGATGTACAGCTGGGTGTCATCAGCGTACTGATGGAACTCCACCCCGATGCCACGGATGAT